AAAGCCCAGGAAAAAAAACTCAGCAAGGCATCCATGCAAACAGACCTGGCCTTCGCCCTCAGCCCAAGAACACAGGTGAAAAACAGGTTCAGTCAATGGGCCCCACAGCAAAACAGAGCATGGAGTTCCTGGTTCCCAAGGAACCTGTTTTTCTGAAGGGGAATATCCTGTCTTTTTTCCTCAGGATATTCCCCTTCATTCTCCCTCCTCTCAATAGCAAGTACTTTGTCCCCACAAACCTGCTTCTGCTTTCCTTCCTGAAAATATGTTACATTTCTGTAAACCTTGGGATCCAGAAGTTGACTCTGTTTATTTATTTTCTATACTGCTGACTTAGTGCTGGACAGTATTCTAAGCAGTTAATCAACAGAACAGAAAGCAACAAACAATAAAAACAAATCAAAATCCATCCACCTACATCAATAAATATTTAACAAGTAAATCTCTAACAACCCCCATGTGCCTCAGTGGTTGGCCAAGCCAAGATGGAAAAGACACATTTGTAAAAGGGGGGGGGGAGGCACAGTTGTGAGAGGATGTTTTCACATATTATCACAGTAACTACCAGACCTATCATGGAGCAGGGTGGCACCATGCTCAGAGGCAGGGGGTCGAAGACAGAGATGAAAGCAAGAACTGACATTTGAATGGCGCTGCAAAACGTATGATGTAAAACTGATGCATATGCAAATAGCAACTGGGAGGGAAAGGAGGAAAAAGATGGGAGGAATCGCACAACAAAAATTAGGGATCAATCTCTGGAAAAGTAAAAAGCACAAGATCACAATGAAATATTATGTACTTTAAAAACTAATATAGTGTGAGAAATATTTGCAACAATTCCATTCTCACTAGATACAAACCAAAGCAAAAGGGTTCCTGACCTTATTCACCTTTGATGAGTCAAGAGCCAATTCACAGCACTCCCCTTTCCTGCCTAGCTTCAATGTAATTAAGAAGAAGCTGCAGTGGTAATTTCTCTCCTCATTAACTTTCTGATTGGTTTGAGGCTCAGATTTTCTACTGG